AAACCGCTAACTAACTTTACCAAGGCGAGATTGATAGTTATCCCCGGTTCCAATTCTGGCAAAGCCTGGCAAACATTTCGAACCTAGTATTAACTTTTTCACGCCCTACACCTGGCCGCACTCCCTCTAGGTCAAGCTAGCCCCGGACTCGCAAAATCCGATTCATTTAAAAAAAAAAAAATCCTTCCCATTTTAAATAAAAAACTTTTCTTTTGTAAAACTTCCTTTCTCAAAACCCTTTTCAAAATTTCCTTTCTTTCACCATGTTATGTCATCTAAACATCAATCTCATCACAACAATAATGATATCAGCACAATAATCACAACTCAATGGACATAAACAAGTCATTCCATAATAAACAATTATGATCATAGCATGCTTTAAAATATTATACGACAATAGCATATTTCACTACACCATTTTGAGTAAAGCACCTTTCTCAAGAATCAACTATAAGCATGTTTCATATAAAATCATAATAATTCACATCATTCTTTTAATACATAAGAAAACAAATCATGCTTTAAACATTTAATCACGTTACTAATATACAAATACAACAATTTTAGTTCATAGTCCTTAAATTTACACTACTTAATGAAGAGGAAAGTAGAATTTGCTTAAATAAAAAGCAAAGCTTGAGGTATTAGAAAAACCCCTACCTCAAAAGTAGCCAAAATGCATCCCCGGCCTAAAAAGTCAACATCGGTCAATGGCAGCAAAGCAAAAACCTGTTCAGTGGAAACGTAGCCGACGACGAGGAGATTCAACTGTTCCAAAGGCGTGTCTCCAGAATCCGACTCGAAGTGGTCCAAAACCCCCTCCGAAATCTTAGAACTAAAAACTTAAAAAATTCGTAAATAATCACCGCTCCTCCAAAAATTAAATCCTTTGACTATGTGCTAGTGAACTACGAGAGGAACATTTTCCGTCTGGGAATCAAGACCGGAAACCCGACTAATTGGCCGAAAAATTAAGGAGAAATATGAAGCTTAAAAGAAATGAAAAAAAAAAAGAAAACAAAAGAAAAAAGAAAACATGAGAGAGATATATTGCGTGAGAGAGAGATGAAACTGATACCTAAAATGGTTATAAGGCCATTATAATGGCTTAGTAAAAGAGCGGGTCCCACTAGCTTTAATAAAAATCTCACCTTTAATATAAATATATATTTATATATATATAAATACACTTTAAAACATTTTCAACTACATACAAAACATGTATCCATATAAAATGCGTTAAACAGACATGCATAAAATGCAATGGACCCAAAACACAATTCTTATACACAACGACCCCGGAAGCAGGTCCCACCTGAAACCTTTTGGCCCAAAAAATGAAAAAATGCCGAAATGACAGCCTTTGCATTTTCAAGAGTCCTGAATTAAAGAAAATGTCCCAACAACTCTCGGGACTCACCTGGCACACCCCACGGTGTCTAGCACGCAAGACGAAAAAATCTAGAAAAAAAAAAAAAAAACATCCAGAAAATGGAATAAGATAAAAATCAAGATCATTACATATACAAAATATCATCTTGGTTTTAAACTATAGAATTTTCCAATTATACCCTTATCAAATAGAAGTAGAATTTTGGAATAGAAAATTAAATATGTAATCTTTCTTTCTTTTTTTCTAAGTACTTTTAAAGTTTAGTTAATTAATGAATATTATATTATGAAGTTAAATTAAGTTTAATTCCAAAAATCTTTGAAGATTTAACTACTATAATTTATAATATACAAAAATTAAAAATTTTATTAAAAATTTAAATAAATTATTATTATTTTTTAAAAATTTACCCTTTATAAAAAATTTATTATAAATTTGGACATGTTTAAATAGTTAAATAAATGAATTTAATTACATATAATTTTTTTCGTAAGTATTATAATTCCAATTTTTTTAATTCGATATAAGTAATTGTGTAACCAAACGATTGTGTTGTTTATAATTTAAATGACTCATTAATCCTATAACATTTTTTTTTAATTTTTTTAATTTTTATTTTTTTTGCCTTTTATACTAAGAAAAAGTAAGACTTGATTTTCCTAATCATTTTTTACAATATAATCAAAAACATATAAAAAAAACGCAAAACTAAAGCTCTGTTTGTTTCGAGGTAAAATATTCTTGTTGGAAATATTTTCTTTTTTTAAGTGAAATATTTTTATTTTTTTACTTTTTGGTGTTTGGCAAATGTCTAGATTTATGTTGAGATCGAGTCCATCAGATGAGCGTGTAAAATAACTTATCAAACACCATAAATTTTTTTTTTTAAAAAAATAAAAATTTACATCCAAATAAATTAGTCTAAATGAATATTGTACGATATATATATATATATATTAAAAAAAAACATAAAAAAGAAAATCAAAAAAACAAACAAATATCTAAAGGTAATCTCTCTTCGCCTTCATGCCTAGTTTTCAACGCTAAACCTCATATTCAGCGCTAGCGAAGGTGAGAAACCACATATCTCTTGTTTCTTTTTGTTACCTTTTTAATCTATCTTTTGTAATATTTCCCATTTTTCTATTTTCCATTTTTTGAGAATTTTTTAATTTTTTGGATTATTTTAATCCTTGTCTGGGGCATTTCTTTGAGTTCAGGACTCTTAGAAATGTATTATTTGCCATCTCGACATTTTTCATTTTTTCGGGCCAGGAGATCCCATGTGGGACCTGCAACCAGTATTTTAGTGCACGAGGATTACTTTTTTTGGGTTTGTTGTATTTCATGCATGATTATTTTTGGCTTAATTACATGGCTATATGTTTAAATGATGGTTGTAATGTGTTTAATATATATATATATATATATATATATATATATATATATATATATATATATATAAGGCATATGGAGATATTATCTTAGTGCTTGGCCCCACTAATCTCGTTTAGCCACTTATAGTGAACAAATGGACATTACATGATCATCTCTTCCTCACGCAGTGCTCTCCCTCACATTTTCTATTTTTTTCTTTTTCCTTTGCCACAGTTGTAAGCTTAGATCTGTACTAAGCTATTGGGAATTTGACCTTGCCACTGAAGGCAAAGTCAACAAGGCCTTCGATTTGATCGGAGCAAAGTTCAGTTTAAAGCACTTTGGATTTTCGGGATTTAAGGGTTTTAGTGGAATTGTTCTTCTATTTGAAGTAGGGGTGTTCTAATGCACTTTTCTTTGAGCTTTGTGCATTATTTCTTGACTATGATGTATAAGCATGCTTGATTATGTTGGAATTTTATTTAATATGAAGTTTTTGTGATATATATATAATTTTTAATGTATCATTTATGTTGAGAATGCCTATGTGCTAATTGTTAAAATGTGAAGAAGCATGCTATGTGAGTTATTTCTTAACTTATGTGTTTAAAATGCTGGTTTGTAATTAGGTGAAAGTATAATGTGCCCTCTAGAGATTTTGTACAAGCATGCTATATTGTTGAATTCGAATGCAATGTGAAAAAATTTATTATTGGCATGATATTGAAAGCATGAAGCATTCATGCATTGCATTGGGCAAGAAAAAGGAAATTTTGTTTTGAAATGAAATAAAAAAAAAAATTGCTTTGGGAAAATGTTTTGATGTTTCACCATAGACGTGGGTAGGATTTTAAAAAATCATTTTGTCATCTTTTTGTACTTAAGTCTCATTTTTGTATAAGCCTATCAAGACATGTACAGCTTGTATATTTTGTGGCCTGTAATTGTAATCATGAATCTTGATAGTGTTTTGATGTAATATATTCAGAGAATAGCTTTTTGATGTATGTAATAGTTATGTTTATATATTTGGAAATGAATAGGGAAATGGTGGATTATTTTTGAGAAGTTTATTGACGTTTATGACTGGGGAATGTTGTACCTTATTGTTGTGAATTTGGGGCAGGTTGTATATCAGGTTTGGCTCACAAACAAGCTCGGTTCATTGAGATTCCAGTTTGCAAATAATAGTATTTCTGGGCTGTCAACCGATCGACGGTGCATTTTCGAGCAGGTCAGAGAGTTGGGATTGTGGTTTGTGTTGTTTCGTCCGGCCGACAACCTCAGTCAGCCGACCGTATCCCTTTTTCCAGCTGACCAACACTGAACCATCAATCAGTTGATAGACCATTTTCTGGAGATCCCGAGAGTATGCATTTTGATGCATTGTTTCGGCTGGCTGACCATTTCAGTTAATCAACCGACCCTTTTGTTTCAGTCGACCGCCATATGGCTGTCAACCAGCCGACACTGTCCCTTCCACTTGCATTTGTATTTCTCCTGTGAAGTTGAAGTTCGGGAACTTGTGGACCTTGGGATAAGGTACGGGTTATGCGTTGACATAGAAAAGGACGGTAATACCCTTAGACGACCTTGAGTTCGATTAAGGACTCGATTAACGATTCGACCCTGTAGGTTCAGGTCGTTACAAATTTGGTATCAGAACAATGAATCGAAAACCATTAGGCCTACCTAGATTTGCATGGGAGGTTGACTTGCATTGTTTATGTGTTAAAGTGCGTAATTGTTTAAGAAGCATGTTTGATTGTTATCTGTTTAAATGTTTAATGTTTTGAAAGACATGCCTATTTTCTTAGTGCTTACATGTTTAAATGTAAGTATATGTAAATGAAATGTGTATGTGAATTGAAAGCATGCTAATTGTGATAAGATGACAAGTCCGAGGTGCATGGTAATGGCAAGTGGTAGGCACGTTTTATGCAGTTTTATTTTAAATGATAATGTGTTAAGTAGCGAGCACGGTTTGTGCAAGCATGTTTTGTATGGTATTGTGATTGGTCAACAGTCGGCTTTTGAATAGAAAAACTACAGAAATTTCGTTCATACCCACATATAACTCACAATTTGCACCTAAATACACACACCTACCTCCACTAGGACAAAGACTTGAGGATCATGATAGACTCCCAAATTCTTTAGAGACTCTTAACATGGTGAAATACAGAAAACATCAGCATCCTACACAAATAACTTTTTAGCAGAGATATCACCTTGCCATGGGACTCACTCCACTCTCCGAATTCATTGGTATCATTCGAATTGAATCATTGGATTGATCTGACTCATGGCGAGCTACCTCCGTTGCCAAACACTCCTTCAATTCCATAACCACATTATCTATGGTTGGCCTTCTGGTGGACGTGCGAGATACACAAGCCATTGCTAATTCTACAACTTTCCAAGCAGAATTAACATCATAATCTTCCTCTAACTTGGGATCAACAATACTTTTAACATCCCCGTTTGCAAGCATGGAACTAACCCATTGAATTATGTGTGTTTTGCCATAACTTTTGGGTGTTGCTGGTTGGCCTGTAATTATCTCCAAGATAACAATTCCAAAGCTATAGACATCACTTTTTTCTGTCAACCTATTTGATGAGAAATACCTGCAAACCAAAATGTATATAACATTTACCTTTCAAAAAATAAAATAAAATAAACATTTATCCCTATCACAACAAAATCATGAAATTATGTTCTCTAGATTCAACGATTGTCTAGTCATCGATTTCGTGTAACAATGTAATTAATTCTTGAAACAAATGATTTCGAAAGATAAACCTTTAAGTACTAGGAAATTAAGGGGTAAAAATACTTACTCAGGGTCAAGGTAACCAGGAGTACCAGCAACAATTGTTGATACATGAGTACCACTTTCAGTTGGGAAAACTCTGGACAGTCCAAAATCAGCAAGTTTGGCTTGGAATTTTTCATTTAATAGGATATTGCTAGACTTCACATCTCTGTGGATTATTGGTGGCTTACAACCATGGTGTAGATATTCCAATCCTTCAATTCCAGTCCACATTTTAGTAGGTAAATTTTAAAAGGAAAATAAGAAGTAAAAGGGGTTTTACTTACTAACCTTGTGCTGCATCTGTCGCTATTTGAAGTCTCTCTTCCCAACTCAAAACATTTTGATTTTTATCTGTGAATATATATAAGCAATTCAAGTCTTTTTGTTAATGACAAGAACTTACAATCATGCATTCTTTTCTAGTCAGAAACATTCTAGTGTGACATTTATACCTGACAGATGCTTTTCCAAGTCTCCATTAGCCATGTACTCATAGATGATTCCCATGTGGGTGCCTTCATTGCAGTACCCAACAAGCGAAGTTAGGCTTTTATGATGAACACTCATAAGAAGTTTGGCCTGCAATAGAAAACCACATTTAGTTTAATTTACTGCATACATTGATGTACTCAAGTTTTCTATAAAGCTATGTTTGCGAGCACCGAATCAGCACTTTGGAATTGGAATTGGAATTGGAATTGGAATTGGAGGATACTTAATTCAAAGCACTAATTCTGTGTTCTCAAAAGCTCATAAATATTCATTTGATATGGAATACTACTGGAAAAACAACATTTTATTGGATTCCATCCTCTAAAAGCAATGGCTAATCAAGCTGTTATTGGAGTTACGCAAATTACCTCCGCTTGGAATTCCTTATACCCTTGAATTGATGATGAAGAAAGCATCTTTACAGCAACTTGAGAATCACCTACATAGCCATGGTATACTGTTCCAAATCCTCCTTTCCCAATAATTCTTTCAAAGTTATTGGTAATACTCATTACCTCCAAGTATGTAAACTCTCGATTCCTTACATCGAAGGAGCCTTCTTTCTGTCTCCTGGCTACTAGGATCATATTAAATTCGATAAAGATAGATTAAATATGGATATTTTTTATTATTGAGAGCTCAATGTTAAGATTTTAACATTTTGATCTTTAAACTGAGAGTAATGGTCCTCATACCTCGTTTTCTCTTTTCAATGATCCATAAGACAGATCCTATTGCAATACAGAGTCCGAACAGTGCAGTGACAGATGCTACTACTGGAATAACGACCTTGTTTTGTGGCTTTTTGCAAGGACTAGACTGACAAGGATTTGTGCTTTCAGTAGCTTGAGTTGAATCGATGCTGTTGTTGATGATAAACATCAAACTAAGAATCAATGAATGCTTATTGTATATGCTATATGTATCAACAGTAGGTACTAAGAAGTCACGATGTAGCAACTTTGAAGTATGGAAATGTTTAATGTTTGACAAGTTCACAAAAATTAAAAGCGACAATGAGGTGCAGTGTATTATTTTTAAAAGGTTTCTGGCATATATGGGGGAGGTGGGATGAAATATTAAATCGTAGATCATTATGAAAAAGTTTTGGTAATTTTGGTTGTGGTTTTGCAAAAAGAGCAAACCTCAATAAGAGCGATCCATTTTCTGACTTTGCAAGGAGTGGTTCTGGAACTGAACCTGTGAAATTGTTTCCTCTCAACTTTCTGCAAAAGGAGAGCAAACGTGATGGCCTGTTTTGTATTCTGTTAAGCTTACAATTCATGTCACAGAGAAAAGTAACTTACAGGACTGTCAAAGAAGCCAATTGAGATAGGAAACTAGGCACCTGCCCTGTTAGTTTATTGTTTGACAAATCCCTGAATTAAACAAAAGGATAAATTTGTTTACTATTTGTCATATAGAAGATTAAATTGGATTTGCATCTTATTAGCAAGTTGGCATCTTATTGGTTCTTGTGAAATTGAAATACTTACAAAGATTGTATCACCATGAGACGGGATATGTTAGGAGAAATCTCCCCTGTCAGCTCACTTGAGGACAAGTTCCTACATTGCAAGTTGAATAATCTTGTGAATATATGGAATTGGATGGAAAATTATTAAGCATGGTTATTTAAAGGCATAGACGTACAAAGATATGATCCTGGGAGGATTGAAACCGTCATTGCTGCAAGTGAGGCCGACCCACAAAAAGGCTACAGGAGCACATGGATCTCCTTGCCAGTTCCTTGTCACTCTATACGTTGACTTGATGCCCAGGATAGCAGAAACTAATAATCAGAGAGATTTAGTACATGAAGAAGAAAAAGCATTATATGCAATACCATTGAAATTTAAGCAGATGTAGGTAAGAACTTACCATCTGTATCATCTGTTTGTAAATGTATAATTGGTCTAGCAATATAAATCTCCATGGCATTGATGATGGGCGGAAGAGTTGAATTTTTTGTTTTGTTGATTGTAATATTGAACTCTGGGAAAGACAGAGGTTTTCCGTTGGAGTTGGACACTGTGCGTGCTGATAAATAATCGGGAACAATAGGTTTGTCCAACACTGATGTCCCATTTACAAAGATGTCGAACTCTCTGGATTGATTAAGCTGAAACACCTCAACTTCAGCAAAGTGCATGTAGACATAAAATTGGTCAGAAGAATTGATAGGATTCCACTGCAAGTTCAATGAGTCGCTGCCATTTTCTGACGTAGTAGCCGTGCTCATGACAGCAAGTGGTAGTTTGAATTGGTTTGAAGCTAGGGAATTCATGGTAGACAAATTTCTTATCATCCTGGGGTTACTCATCAAGGAATTGGGAGTAGGGTTCCATATACGATCATAAGCATCATCTTTGAACCTATATGAGGTACTGGTACCATAATGAGATTTTTATTCAGTAATATAAAGATATCAGATTAATCTTCCAAAAACAATTTGATGTGAAAGATGGCATACCTGGCTAATTCACTTGCTGTTGAACCATAATCAAAACGATCAAAAAAGACTGGTGATCCATCTGCAGTTTCATATACAGAGTCATACAAAGGCCTTAGTTCTAATGCTGATATGAAAGGTGTTCCAAGGCCTTTGTCTAAGAGACAAAGGTATATATAATCACTGGAAAGGATATGTATGATCTCAGTCCACCAAATAGTAGTTGTATCAAGCGATGATATTGTGTCCCAGAAATCAACTCCAAAGTGCAAATCAAATGTTGGTGGGTTATTTTGGTTATCATAGTTTCCATACATGAACCAGGCCCTTATCAAATATTTGCTACCTGTCCCGTTTGCAGGTCTTAGGGTGTAGCAATTTCTGGATCCTTCAGGAAAGCTTCGAACATTCAAGAATTGTTGTTTGAAAGCCTTGAATTCAGGAGATATAGTCTTGCTTACACCAGTGTCTATAAAAGCTGCATCTGAAATATAATGTATTCCGGTTGTCTCATCTGTGTAGCTGGAATCTTCAGATATCCCACAATCCATGCTTATGAAGCCTGAGAAAGAAATGGACAAAAAGGAGAGACCTTATAATTAGCTAAATGTTTAGAGCAACAACAATATATATATATATCATATTGATAGTTACAAAAATGTGTTTACAAACCTGAAGGGTCCTGGGCATCAACCACAACTGCAAGGGCAAAAGCACCAAGAATTAATGCAAAGAGGAAGCATTTTGGCATCCCCGTTCTTCTGCTCAGAGTCTTCATGCTGAAGAGGCAAAGCGTAGAGGATGGTTGATCTTATATTTATATTCCAACTTCATATATATAACAATAGGCTGCTCATGTTGCCAAATAGTATAATAACGTAAAATATTTGTTCTATTCCATCAATCCTACTGAAACCTAAGCTATGATGGTGACATAGATAAACTTTTGGCAATGTGTATACAAGTCAAATTGCGAATCATAATGTTTATTTTAAATGTTCAAATCGTGTGTAGTCTTGTTCATCATGTTACTTAACCTGTAGCAAATATAAGAAAATACATCTGAAAAACATTTTATTTTATTTTATTTTATTTTTTTTTTTTTTTTGGGGGGGTAAGAAATACAAATGAAGTAACGCCCAAGCAAAATTTGAAGTTATTATTATCATTTTTTATTCAAAATTTTTGAAGATGCACATATTAACAAGAATTTAAGTGACTGCCATAGTGTTCAAAATGCAATCGGATTGTTAAGTGACTTGAAGCTCGACAAAATATCAATGTAGAAAAAGGATACTGAAGTTGATAAGGCAAATGCAATTTGAAAGAACAAATATAAGTAAAGGTTGAATCCAAATTTTCTCATAATTACTCGTACCCGTAGCTCAGACTGACTGAGGAACTAAAGGGATTGTGTTCGTTCACATATTAACACTTCAAAACACTACAAGAAATGTGGGCTTTTACGACATAGTATTTACAGAGCTTCTTTATTTTGCCTCGTGATTACCACCATTTACGGAGTTTTTAAAAAGAATCCTCGTAATTGTTACATATTTTCACGAGGATTTAGTAGAATCTTCGTAGAAAATGTTTTTTACGGTGTATTAAAGAGGTCGTGAATATTTAGATATATTTACGGCATATTTGTACACTTTTCACGGGATAAATGTTGCTCGTTGATAAATATTACATTTAAGTCCTTTTTTTTCCCGTAAATAAGCAATAGTACTTACTTTTAAAATATATATAGAAAACAATAAAAAAAACGAACTTAAGTTTTTTTACGGTGTATTATAGACGCCGTGAATAGATTTCACATCTAAGGCGTATTTTTTGCTCCGTAGATAAGCAATACTATTTTTAGCCTTCCCCTCGCGAGAAACTTAGCGCCAGATAAATTATTTTTTTAATTAAAAAATATTATTAAACATAATTAAGTTCTTTTAGGGTGTAGTAAAGACGCCGTGAATAAATTTCACATTTAAGGTGCCTTTTTTGTCTCGTAGATAAGCAATATTTTCCAAATAAAATTTTCCCCGCTGGCGGGAAACTTAGCGCCAAATAGCAAAATAAATGAATTTTTTTTAATAGAAAACATAATTAAAAATTTGACAAAAACGACGTAGTTTTTGTCAATACCTTATATATCATGTCTAAGCCCTTTCTCTCTCTGCTCCCCTTCTTTCACGTTGAAGCTAGCCCTAACTTTCCCTCTATGCTCTCTCTCTTTAGATGAAAAAGATGCAGATGATGTTGTAGATTCCCTATTTGAGTTATCTCTCTGGTTCACCTCTCTATTGGAGCAGTGAAAATCTAATCGAAGCAAAGAAAGACAAATCGAAGACCCCTAGAAAACCCAAGGAAAGCGTTCTTAAATAGAGTTAGTGTGGCGACCTTGTGGGCGGGTGTGTGTAAGCGTGTGCAGGGGGCACCAGTAGGCTACTACACTGGGCGAGCTACAGGGGCACAATCCCACATCGTCTGGGTGTGGATGGGGCAAGTGCTATATGTAGATTCAACACCCTTCTATGACACAACGCGTTTTAAAGCCGTGATGGCCGTGAACCCATCAGAACTCTATAGTTAAGCGTGTTTAACTTGGAATAGTACCAGGATAGGTGATCCCCTGGAAAGTCTCTGGTTTGGGTGAGCCAAAAGCGGATAATATTGTGTCTGGCTAGGGTGAGGGTCGTTACAAATGGTATCAGAGCCTGACCCAGCCAGAAGTGTGGCCAACGAGGACGTTGGGCCCCAAAGGGAGGGTGATTGTGGCGACCTTGTGGGCGGGTGTGTGTGAGCGTGTGCAGGGGGCACCAGTAGGCTACCACACTAGGCGAGTTATAGATGCACAATCCCACATCGTCTGGGTGTGGATGGGGCAAGTGCTATATATAGATTCAACACCCTTCTATGACACAACGCGTTTTAAAGCCATGATGATCGTGAACCCATCAGAACTCTGTAGTTAAGCATGCTTAACTTGGAGTAGTATCAGGATGGGTGACCCCTTGCGAAGTCTCTGGTCTGGGTGAGCTAAAAGCGGATAATATTGTGTCTGGCCAGGGTGAGGGTCGTTACAGTTAGTCTGTCTCTCTTTCACTCACTCACTCTCTCTCTACATATAAATAATTATTTACATCTACATTTTTGCATTATTTATTTATTTGTATATATATTGCTTGAGATTTCTGTGTGCAAATTTGGGTTCGGGTGATTCATTTATTTTTCTGCAGAATCACCAGCTGAGTTTTTTACTGAGAGCAAGAACATTGCTGGGTTTGATAATGTGAGTTTCTTAGCCTCCTGTATAATTTCTGTGGGTTAGAATTTTAATGGTTTTGAGGCTTTTTTTTGGAATTTTTTGTGAAGGGTAATTTTTTTTTTTTTTTTTTTTTTTTTTTCCAGTACTTGTATTAGTTTGTAGCTGAATAATTTTGATATGTACTATCTGTTGCATTAAATATATAATCTCTCATCTGTGATGATGGAAGCATGGTGTTAGTATTAGGAGAGTAATTGGTGAATTTATATCTAGTCTAGTGCCTCGATTGAATTAATTTGATTGGAAAAACTTTTTTGTTGTAAATTTCTGAAATTCTTTTTTTTTTTTTTTTTTTTTGGGGGGGGGGGGGGGATGTGGGGAAGTTAGAAATTTTCCATTTATTTCTCTACGTGGGTGAAAACTAGATAAATATTCGCCTACTAAGAGAATTTGCAAATTTAAATTGTCTGAAGTTGGTTGGTAGATTCAGTGAATCAGGGGTAAAGTCAAATTCCGGATATCTATATAGAAATCTGTTAGTACAAGTTCGTAGCTGTTCTGTTTTCCTTCAATCGTCAATTCTGCAGTTTATTTTGCTTTCAACCAGGGAAATCTCTCTACACTACTGTGAGAGAACTTGTTAAAAATGCTCTTGATTCAGCAGAATCCATATCTGAGCTTCCTGTAGTAGAAGTAACAATGTAAGTGCTTTTCATTTGTGCATATTCCTGCTATGGATATCTGCATGACTTAGGTAGGCAAGCTTTAACATATGAGATAATCAAGCATGTCATTTAATACTTTAGTTTTACTATTTTCAATTCTTTGATGCTTTAGTGAAGAAATTGGAATAAGCAAGTTTAATTCTATGATTGGTCTTGTTGATCGTGAACACGTTGATGAGGAACTTTATGATGATTTCGAGACAGCCAAGGCTCATGAGGTGTGGGCCTTATACCTAAAATAGCCGAACAAGTATACCCACAGCTTCCCATTTTTAGGTGTTATCAAATCCACAATTTTTGTCTTAAAAGTTTTAAAAAATGTGGCAAATTAGTTTTAAAAAATCATCAACAAATGGCTTGAATAGATAAAAATATTTTTATCAGTTGGTCACAGGATTTGTTAGGTTGAAGAAAAAATTTACTGCCATGATAGATTTTGTGATGTATCCATTTATTGTACTCTGTACGTTGCTACACCCCAACCTTGACTGTACAATATATAGTATTGTGGCATTTAATTCGATGGATAGGATTTTCATTGATTGAGCTTTTATTGGTCCACATGATTGATATTAATTACATTTCACCATGGCTAAAGGAAGCAGAAGGGGTGTGTACATATTTAATCACTTATGGATACTTGTATAAACTTTTACTTATTTCTGGAAGCTGTGTGAATATATCTATCATATATAGCACACATATTTCTCATAAACCATGGATAATTTTGATCGACAAGAGTGATTCTGCAAGGACATTCATGGTAATCATCCAATTTATTAGCACCCTTTAGACTAGAGCCAATCACACCTTTACATAATTCTTTGAATTTTAACATTGATTTAATAATTCACATTTGTGAATTATGGCTAGTAGCAGGTTACCTCTTTACTATGTAATCGTTTCACCATTCATCAACTGGCTGCTTGCCCTATTATATTGTCATCAAATATTTGTCCACAATATAGACATGTCACATGGATGAGACCAATAAGCTGAAGGCCCAACAAATTTTAAGAAGAGAGAAAAAATAAATAAAAATCAAACAGGTAGGATCGTATGATCCTCTGATTCAAATCGTAACTTTGACAACCATGTATGTTACTGACTCTTACTAATGTAAAACGTGTTTCAATTTAATGCCCTACTTGTTGAGGATCTCTTAAATCAAATCTTGTATATTTTCAGGTGCAATCACTGGAGCTATAACAACTCCTCTTGATGTCATAAAAACTAGATTAATGGTTCAGGTACAGATAATGGATCTTTTTTCTTACTTTTCTTTCTATCTTAATCTTTTTCATAGAAGGGGAGTAATGCAAATTCTTTCTTCATTTCATCTTTTCAACCTTTGCAGGGGTCAGTAAACCAGTACAAAGGTATATTTGACTGTGTTTGGACTATCATTAGAGAAGAAGGGACTCCTGCTCTTCTAAAGGTATGCTCTTCCATGCTACGCCTTTTATCCCATAAAATGCAATTCAAAGTACAGTAATCATTCTTTGTGTTCTTTTCTCTCGTTGCTCTTTTCAATTTACATGATAGCATGGGAAACTATTAAGAAAAATGTTCTAATTTTGTTAAGATAGATAGCATTTCTAACTTACGGACATTGAGGGTCATATTTGAATAGGAATTGACTTAAATTAAAATTATATAAAACACTCTTAATCAAAAAATCAAAACTAATAGATACATATACAGAAAGAGATTGACGAACCTTAATTTTTTGCTTCAAATTGACGTGTATAGCGGTTTGAAATTCGAAGAAATTATGGATTCAAAATAGGAACCCTAGTTTCTTCATAAAACGAACAAATACAAGCAATCTTTGATGCCTCCCTCAATGAATTGTCAAACTTTGCTTCAAATTAGAGCAAGGATTAGGGTTCTTTTATGGAGATCTTCGTTTCAAAAACTCATGTCTGACAGCTTCAACAACTTGAATAAGTTAGCTTCAAATCAAATCTCATACATCTACACCATATCAAAATAATTTATGAAAATAACACCTAGAACAACCCACACATCTGCACTTTCATACACACATATATGCGTACACGAAAAATAATATCTAAAAAGAAGGCAAAATACCCAAACTCTGCCACACATCTACAACATAAGATCTCATCCACCAACACCATACCAAAGTAAAATAAAACAAGATAATTAAGGACCAAAATCAATAAACTAAAATACGCTCAGAGTGTAGTGAGAGTTATTTCATTACCAACTTACTGTCACACCCCAAAACCATAGGGCGTGATAATAAGGTTAAAACAAAAAAAAATGGAACAACAGTTTCCAGCTTAAGAAAATTCTGCACAGCGGTTCCTCAAAAAAACATAGAAAATTCAATTATTATCGAAATGAAGCAAACTAATTTTTTTAAAAAACTAGACTCAGATGAAAATGTGACCGAGTCACTCCCGGATGCTAGAAAAACACCAAGGAAAACAGTTTTTGGAAGGAAGAAAGCTCTCACAGCTTGTGCTGAAATGGAACCAAGTGCAAAACTTTGGCCTGCTTAGTCTTTTAGAGAGCCAATAAAATTTTGGGGACTTAACCTTTAGAAACTAGACACTTGAAATAATAAAACTAGAAACTTTCATAATTTATTGATTTCGGGAAGGCCGTCAAATTCTTTTCTCAAATTCAGTTTCCAAACTGTGACCAGAAACCAAACAGCAAATGATATAAGATTTTTTAAAAAATATCCACCAATCGAAAAAATATAAAAATTTTGTAAGAGACTTTATACACAAAGGCAAACATATGGTAAAAATTTCATAGCGTTTGAAGTACTAAAACCTCTGATTAAAATTTGTTTCCAAGAAAGTACTAGAGGAAATTTAAAACAGATTTTTTTTTTTTTTTCTTTAAATAAAACCCTCTAACAGAAAATTCAGAGCCTACCCCCATGAACAACTTATATAATACATAGGCATAACAAAGATCTAAAGAGGCTAAGAATATATATATTGCATAAAGTCATCCATAGAAAGATAATTTCAGTCCAAATTTGTACACCCAAAAATAAAGAGTCACAACTCTGATGCCCAGTCACTAAGTACATATGCTACCATTAGCAGGCTATACACAAAACATCTAGATACAGTACCTAGTCCTAAAGAACACATAGCAGAGAGCATGTTGTCATTTTCACTCTAGCACAGCAACCACGACCTTAACATGGTTTCATAAGGCATCAAACATGAACAAAATAGTACTTCAGGCTAATATTTTACACAAAAACACCAAGCACAAGATGCTCCACAAAAGGATCCCATCTATGGGAACTCAAGCTCGGGTCTAGCATTGCCGTCCTGAGCACCAAGACCTGAAAAATAACAAGGGTGAGACAATGCCCAGTAGGAAAGCCTTTAACAAATGCCTCCATGAGGTTTTAACTTTTAGGTACATGATCTGATTAAGCAGAATTATTTTGGCGTAAAATTGATAATATACATCAGTCTACCAACATGCTAAGTTCTGATTGGAAAACAATTTACCTATGTAGAGTTCTAAAATAAAATCATAAGCAATACTTGTATGTAACCAAAACTCAGATCATGACCAAGCATATGTATAATATCTTAGCTAAAATCAAGCATTTGACTACAAGAAAATCATGTACTTGTAACAAGAAAAAATATAATTTTATGGAACATTAAACTGGGAAACGGAACTTTAAAAAAATAACTTTCAAGGCTGCAAGAGTTAAAGAGAATCCCTACCCAATTGAAGGTAACAACTAGAGGTGGTGAGATTAGATGGTGTGTGGGTAAAATGCCTACATTTTTAGCCTTAGTCCAAACCCTTCTTCTTCTTCTTCACTTTCTGTTCTTCTTTCTCTCTGTCAGACAACCCACGGCTAGAAGTTTTCTTTTAGGTTTGGCATGCAACAACTATGAGGGAACTAGTTACAAGTGTAGTGCTAAATAATTAAATGTGTCTCCAAGTTTTGCATATGAATAACACCTACTTCTTGATCCCCTACATGCTGCCACATGCAAACCCACTAAACCACATTCTATTAATATCTCAATACTCCCTCATTTCCAAAAGTAATCACTCAATGGCTCTACCCATTTTATTTATTTCTTTATTTTTATTATTATTTGTTAACAACTAAATTCATCCCATGAGTAAAATAGAAAATTAAATGAAACTCATGACTATAAATTAAATACTAGATCAAAAAATTATATACTAAACAATTAAGGAATTATAAATTGCCAACGAACCGTGCACAACCGATGCATTTAAATAAATTCCAAGCAATTAGGCATGTACTAATATTGAAATGCAACACATGAAATAGGTAGAAAGAAATTTAATCAAAAATCATGTAATTCTGGTCCTAAAATAGGGAAGACTTAATTAACTTTAAGGTTGTCACACTTACTCTTTGAAAAGACCATTTTCTGCCTTTATTCACATTATCATGAATATAGTTAGATATTCTTCTTGCTAGAATTTTGACAATTTTTTTTTATCTTTTGTGATAGGTTAGTAGACAAAATAATTAAGCTATTAGTGATGGATAAAGAAAGGATGCACATGACTTACAGGTTATTATTTGTAGTGGAGTGTGCTTATAAAAGTTAATATTGTCTACATTAATTTAAGTTTAATTAAATGTTAAAGCTTTAATTTTATAGAGTTGATCCAAAGTATTTAGAAGGAGCACGGAGGTTTGCTGATTAGGTGCAAGCGAATGCGGGCCATCCAGAAAAGATTTTATGCCCTTGTAATTGTTGTCTAAATGCAAAGCACCAACACTTCGACATAGTGTTTAGGCATTTATTGGAAAATGGAATGGATCAATCATACACGATCTGGTACTTTCACGTGGAAAATCTGAGTGAATCTCCCTAACATGGAAGTGATGTAAATGATGTTGAAATACCAGCGACGTATCAGATGTATAGAGATATTTTCTTTGATGGTGGTGATGATGTTTCGGATCCAAACTATGAAATAAGAGAGGATGAGTTTAAAAAGAAGTTAGAATATGCTGAGACCCCTTTATTTCCAGAATGCACAAAATATACGGTTATGTCTGCAATTGTTGCCTTATACAAGCACAAAGCAACAACTAATTTATCTGACACTGGTTTTGATGGACTTTTTCAAATGTTTGGGGATATGCTTCCAGAAAATAACAAACTTCCTAAGAGCTTTTATGAAACGAAATTTTTTTTGAAGACATTTGATTTAGGATATGAGAAAATAGATGCTTGTAAGAATGACTGTTGTCTATTTAGAAAAGAGAATAAGCACATGACTAAATGCCCAAAATGTGGTGCTTGGCGGTGGAAAGAGAATGAGCGTACTAAGAAGGTTAAAAATGGTGTCCCAGCTAAGGTGTTGCGGTACTTTCAATAGTACCAAGGTTTAGAAGAATGTTTCGATCCCCTGAAATAGCAAAACAACTAACGTGGCATTCAACTCATAGAAGTGGGGATAGAATGATGCGACATCCGGTTGACACACCTGCATGGCATACGATAGATAAAAAATGGCCTTCTTTTGCATCAGATTCAAGAAATTTAAGATTGGCCTTTCAACTGATGGGTTTAATCCATTTGGTGACCTTAGTTTGGCATATAGTTGTTGGCCAGTAACATTGGTGGTATATAATCTTTCACCACTTGAACTCATGTCTAAAGAAAATATGATGTTGACATTACTAATCCCAGGGCCGAGACAACCGGGGAATGATATAGATGTGTATTTGGAGCCACTTATAGATGATTTGAAAGAGCTATGGGAGAAAGGCGTGGAAATTTATGATGCATTTGCAAAGTCCACTAATTTGAAGGTAATCTTGATGTGGGCAATTAGTGACTTTCCGGCTTTTAGTAACCTCTCTGGTCATGTTACAAAGGGTAAAAAAGCTTGTCCAACATGTAGTGATGACACATGTTCAAGGTGGTTGAATTGTAGCACCAAGATTGTTTACTTGGGTCACCGTCGATGGCTATCTCCTACTCACCCATTTCGAAAAAAGAAGAGTTGGTTTGATGGGAGTGAAGAACATAGGTAGAAGCCTAAAATATTGTCTGGGACTGAAATTCTTCATGCTGTGAAAAATATTAAAAATGATTGGGGTAAAAAAGCGAAGGGAAAATTACATATCAAACCAAAAATTGGAAAGAGGAAACAAAAGACAAAAAAGGATGAAAATGTGGCGTGGAAGAAAAAATCCATATTTTTTGAATTACCATACTGGGAGGTAAGTATTTGTAATAGAAAGTCGTTTATTTTTTATTTTTTTAAATAAAATATTATTTATTTAAGTTTATAATATGTTTTAAAAAAACTATTATTCCATTATTTGTGTTTTAGGTATTACTCGTTCGCCATAACTTAGATGTCATGCATATTGAGAAAAATGTTTGTGAGAGTATTATTGGCACCCGATTGAACATA